AAGCAACTATATTGATATTCTTTTGCATAAAATTATACGGTTCTCATTATCGATCATATGGTGTTCTTCTCTTACTATTACGTCCATGCACGGTACAGAGCCACATACTATATAGTATCTAACGTTTCCTTAGCTTATCATACTTTCTTTTTCATCGTAAAGCACCTGTAAGGAATGGTGAAATATGGGAAGAACCATTAGAAAAGCGAAACTATTTACGACTTTGACTATTTTGCTAAATATGTCACAAAAAATGACTGTTGTCATTTTTGACATCATTCTTGAGTTGACATGCTGGATAATAGCATGCATGACAAAGAACTCGAGCTCATTCAATCCAGGATCTTTGATTTTTTTCGTCATTTTCTTCCAGTGAAAGTCTTGATCGTTTCGCTTTCACGGTATGCCTGTATTTTTACTTCGCTTTCGGTGTTCTACATTTTTGTCTCGAGGAAGCCTTTGGTTTCCCCACATTGTTTGCCTTGGCACCATCCACAACAACTGCATGCGCTCATACAGGTACCGTATTCGTTGCTGCACTTGCACCTGCCTTTGTAGTTCCTTGACGCTTTTGCTTTTGATTTGTATTTATTTTTTTCTCCGCATCGACATGGTTTTCTTGGAGTTGAGATTGGCACTTTCTCCGTGGAAAGCGTGGACTGACTCTCGAGAGCATCGAGATTGCTGTTTGTTTCAGAAGTGAATCGCTCCTGCTCATCACGTTGGGAGATAATTAGCGCATCATAGTGTCCTGGACCACTTGCATTATACGCGAGGTAGACGACGTTTGAGGCTGGCACCATCCCTTCAGGAGAAATCATCACAAAAGGAGTCAAAAAACTTGGATTTAAGACAAATAAAGGTATTTGAATAACGTTTGCGATTGCTAGAGGTATAAGATCGCCTAGCGGACCTGAAAAAGTTCCCGATTGGATAAAACGATCTGCCTCCGAAAAAAAGTTTACATCACTGGGCAGAAATGACTGATAAAAATCTACTCGTTCTCCCTTCAATTCTTGGACGACTTTACTCCTGAGAATGCTACCAATATCGTTGATGGATGTAGATGTGTCTATTCCCATCTGTTCCGCAAGGTGCGACATTAACAATGATTCATTATGTGCATTCAAGCTCATCATTTGTTGCAATTGCATTGCCACTGCCGTAAAAAGGCAATTGCCGTCACCCGTTACCTCAACAATGTCAAATCCACAAGTCGAGGCTAGTTCAGTAAGCCTTTTTCTGTCACTTTTTGTTGGGTCTCCAGCTACTGTTTCATTTTCCATTAATGCCTTTGTTTTTAACGGTCTAACATAAGTCACTATCTTCTTGAAATTGAATAGTTTTGGCCCCGTTTTTTCCTCAACGATCTTGCTCATTTTCCACCACTGTAAAGCGTTTCTAAGAATGACAAAGTTTTCGACATCCGCCTTTAAACTGTTCTCCACGTTTTCACCATCACTAGACGTAGAACTCTCGTCATTGCTATCGATTAATGATGTAAGACGGGTTTGTATGTGAGAAATATTCTCTATAGATGTTGTTTTCAAATTTATTTTTTTATCCTCTGTAGCATTTGTCATCACATGGAAATTTATTTCGTGAACTTTGTTATTGGTTTCGTCAAGGGCTCTGCTCGATTGCGGTACTCCTGTTAACAGAATCTTCTTTCTACTGTTTATGAGCATGTCACCTATAGATGGTAAGTTTGCATCGCGTTTCCTGTTTGAGTTAAAAAGGGTCCTTTCAACGCGAGTTCTTGCAAGATCTACTCCAATTCGGTTTGTTACTGTTGTTTTCTTCAGTTCTCTGTGAAGCCGTTCGTTTCGTGTTGTCCCACAACCTGGGGGGATATGTGACAAGCATCCTTTTCTAACGTGACATTCTATATTTTTTAGTTCTTTTTCAACGCTTTTGCTGATAACACGAGCGCCACTTGAATTCTTATACGAAACCCATTTTGTGATAAAGTTGTTTAGGTTGCGCAAAATCTCTTCAGGAGCCGGAGTTGGAAGTTTTCTTTCGATTGCTTGATCTCTCTGATCCCTGAAGACCAGTGAGTATATCTTTGCAAACCTCTGCAAAGATATGAGAACGTTTTGACACCTTTTTTGTAATTCTTTGTATGGCGTGAAACAAATCCAACTTGACGGGTACGTTTGGGAAATATAACGTGAGCAGGTGGCGCCACTTGCAGCAATTGTCTATGTATATTCCTGACAGTTTTACCCCTCGATTTTTGAAGTCTAACGAGAGAGCTTCAAAAAGAGGTTTTACCTCATCAAAACTCTCTGACATAGCGAACGACCACCTTATTACTTGTCCTTTCTCATTTATTATGCAAAAGAGTGATGTGTACTGCGTAATCCAGGCGCTGTCTTCTATTCTTTCGAAGCCGATATTTGCAGCTGCCTTGAAGGTGTGGTCACAGCTAATCCATTTAGCATTTAACGAATTCATTGCCTCTGTAAAAAGGTGTTTTTTCTCATTAAAAGGTGCAACGTAAACGCTTCTTATCAAGTTGTCACCTGGGCAGGGAAAAAGGTTCCCAGGAACGTCAAAATTTAACTCCTCAGCTGACTGTGTGAACCCCAACTCTTTCGCTTGGTGCGCGTCATTTAGAAATCGGAGCAACCTGTTTCTTAATGTTCTTTTGTACCTTTCTTTTATGAGCTCTTCAACAGCCGATATTGCCAATCCTCTATCTAATAAATCTTCAATTTCATCTGCCAACCGCATAGTCATACCAGATCGGTGTGTGAGAACAAATGGCACGCACGTATAATCCTCTGCGGTGTCGTGGAAATAGCTTGCGGGTATATCATGACCATGCTCACATTTATATACTTTGCTAACAAGCAACACTGGACTTTCAACGTCGAACAACATTCGGGGATTTGATCTGTCTTTTCTTGCATTATTCCATTCATTGACGCTTCCCCTTGATAGCAAAGAACATCTTCCATCTTCAGCGCACAAATGACAATACAATTTTTTTTTTTTGGCGCGAAAAGCCGGATGTTGTCCAAGAGGATCAAAAGGATATAGGGAAGTAAAAAGGATCTGCGTCTTGTCTCCAATCGGGTCCTGTAATCGGCGGTGGTGATGGTGTGACGACAGAAGGAAAGGCCACCATTTCTTCATTCATTGATATATCGTTTTCATATTCCACTGTTGCTTTCATCAATATCTCTTTTGCTTTTCTGTCACCTCAAATCCAGTCACAAACGTCACAAATAGCACAAGAATGTAAGTAGAAATTATTAACATTGAGATGTGCATGTTTGATTTGTGTTCCGTCTTTCTTACTTGATCGTCCTGGCCTATCCACGGTGTGATGCTATGGGGAAAATCTTACGTGAATGAATTTATGACAGTTGATTGATTTGTAGCCTGGGTATGTCCGCCTCCTCCCGTCCAACCAAAATCTCGCGCGGGCTTATTGAGTGTCACTGCGTTTCATCAGGTCAGCATTCGCATACTCGTTCAATTCAAATGCCAAATTTATTATCCCTTAAATATGTAGCTTACATGATGACATTTCATATAAAGAAACTCCATGGAACAAGCACTGCAGCTCTCAGCTGAGCTCTATTTAGTGCAGACGATAGAGAGAATGTTCCCACAGACAAATACCGTCGTTTAGGCGAAAAGTAGGCGCTTTGCAGCTGAACCGAACCCAAAAAATAAAAGAATGTGGAATTAAGTACGGTTTCTTTGTTCGTGCAAAAATTTGAGAAATTGAAAAGTCCTGAAGAGTTGAATACAATACAAGATTCCGAACAAGATGCAACTCGCTAGGTTGAAAATTTATGCCAAACTACAGTTTGAAATTCTAGTTGACTGAAGGTTGAGGAAATAAGAAAAGTTTGGCTTAGAAAGTAGAATTGAATATGAAGAGCCTTTTAGTCTTAAAAACTTGCTAACACAGCAAACGAGGGTTTTGAAACTATTCGTCATTCAATTTTAGGCTAAAAGGTGTGGTGGTCGTCAGCCTCCTTAATGAAATAGTTCGTTGAGGATAAAACATTATGAAGCAGGCCCGTAGCAGGGGGAGGGGCAGGGGGGGGCTAGAGCCCCCCCAGAAATTTGGCTGCTTGGCTAACAAGTTCCCAAACAAGTTCTCTATTTTGTCAAAGTCAACACAAACGGAACGTTAGAGACAAGAACAAAAGGTATTGTAGACAAATGTAGTGATCTGACATGTACCAAGAAGTATGCTTTAACCAAGGGACTGAAGCGGGGGAGGGGGGAGTTAATGCGGGTCACTCGCTCAGCCCTCCCAGTCATTTTATGCTTGCTACGTACTTCAGAAGTACGTTGAGATGTTAGTAAAACGTAAATATATACAAATCGATGATGAAATGCTAACTATTAGATCGATGTTGTTTAATGATCTTATTCATTTAAAATACTACAGAACCAAAACAACAATAAAACGACAAATGGATAAATATCCCTAAAATTAAATCCCAACATATTCTTCGACAATTTCACCCTGGCGATCATTTCCCTAATTAAAATAAATTTTCTAGAAACATGAGTAGAATTAAATAAAATGAAATGATAGCAATAATTAAAGGGCTACGAATTCTACCTTATCAAATGACCCTCTATTGTCATCATCTGTCCATTTAATGACTGACGTCGCCCTGTGATATCGCATTTATAGGATATTGCTCTTGAAAATGGAAAGATAAAGGAAATACAAAGAATACAACAACAACAACAAGTTTATTTAGTATTACTATATATTTTTTAACATGGTGTTACCGGTACACTGAAATACAATAATATCAAGACGAAGATTGCAAAGGAGTTACAGATATAATAGAATGGGATAATTTATCGATTATTATTATCATTATTCTTCTTTCGTCTCTCAAATGCTTGGAAGACGAAGGTAGCAGTAAGCTTGCGCATGTACGAATCAGTATTAATATTAAAAAGAAAACAGATTTTATCATTAGTATTTTAATTTGTAAATAACGTATTTCGTCATTCATTTTAGTGAAAAGAGACTTTTTAAGGACCAATGAAATAATAGGTGTATTTAACTTTCAACAATTTAGACTGCAGTGATCACAAATTCTTAGGTCTTCGGGAGTTTTGCGGATTGTAAATCTTTCAGATTTGTGATTTCCTATCTTAAATTTGAAGGCGATGCGTTTATGTTCAGGCTTCCTGATATGCTAAATGAATTCAGAGTACTTTTTTTCGTTTGTATAGGTGGAGTAGAAGTTTAGTTTTTTTGTTTGCACTTATCAGATTGACTTGGTGGTTTTTAAAACGTACTGACAAACTGTAGGAAAGCAGAAGGGTTTTTATTTTTAAAGTAACTGATTTATTTTCAATATTAAATTCTTTACATAAAAGATTTATTTTGTATATCAAACATGATTTTTTTACTAAAGGGTAGACAGGGTATACCGGGCACACAGGGTATACAGTGTATACATGGATATACAGGGAGTACATAAGTATACATGGGTATACAAGGAATGCAGGGTATACAGGGTATACATGAGTATACAGGGTATACAGGGTATACAGGGTATACAAGGTATACAGGGTATACATGAGTATACAGGGTATACAGGATTTACAGGGTATACATCGGTATGCAGGGTATACAGGGTATACAGGGTATACATCAGTATACAGGGTATACATGAGTATACAGGGTATCTAGGGTATACAGGGAGCACATGGGTATACAGGGTATACAGGGTATACATGGGTATACAGGGTATACATGGGTATACAGACAATACAGGGTATACATAGATATACAGGGTATACATAGGTATACAGGGTATACAGGGTATACAGGGTATACATAAGTATACAGGGTATACAGGGTATACAGGGTATACAGGGTATACATGGGTATACCGGGTATACAGGGTATACAGGGTATACATAGGTATACAGGGTATACATGGGTATACATGGTATACATGGGCATACAGGTATACAGGGTATACAGGGTATACATGGTATACATAGGTATACAGGGTATACATAGGCATACAGGGTATACATGGTATACAGGGTATACAGGGTATACATGGGTATACAGGGTATACATGGGCATACAGGGTATACAGGGTATACATAGGTATACATGGGTATACAGGGTATACATGGGTATACAGGGCATACAGGGTACATACATGGGGCATACAGGGTATACAGGGTATATATAGGGTATACATATACATACAGGTATACAGGGTATACAGGGGTATACATAGGCATACAGGGTATACAGGGGTATACAGGGTATACATAGGCATACAGGCATACAGGGTATACATGGGCATACAGGGTATACAGGGTATACATACAAGGGTATACAGGGTATACATGGCATACAGGGTATAGGCATAGTATACATGGGCATACAGGGTATACATGGGTATACAGGTATACAGGGTATACATGGGTATACAGGGTATACAGGGTATACATAGGCATACAGGGTATACATAGGTATACAGGGTATACATGGGCATACAGGGTATACAGGGTATGTATGGGCATACAGGGTACACAGGGTATACAGGGTATACAGGCATACAGGGTATACAGGGTATACAGGGTATACAGGGCATACAGGGCATACAGGGTATACATAGGTATACAGGGTATACAGGGTATACATAGGCATATACAGGGTATACATAGGGTATACAGGGTATACAGGGTATACAGGGCATACAGGGCATACAGGGCATACATACATACAGGGTATACAGGGTATACATATGGCATACAGGGTATACAGGGCATACATGGGTATACAGGGTATACATGGGCATACAGGGTATACAGGGTATACAGGGTATACAGGGTATACAGGGTATACAGGGTATACATAGGTATACAGGGTATACAGGGTATACATAGGTATACAGGGTATACAGGGTATACATGGGCATACAGGGGCATACAGGGTATACAGGGTATACATGGGCATACAGGGTATACAGGGTATACAGGGTATACATACAGGGTATACAGGGTATACAGGGTATACATAGGGTATACAGGGTATACATGGGTATACAGGGTATACATACAGGGTATACAGGGCATACAGGGGCATATACATGGGTATACAGGGTATACAGGGTATACAGGGTATACAGGGTATACATAGGCATACAGGGTATACATGGGTATACAGGGTATACAGGGTATACATGGGTATACAGGGTATACAGGGTATACAGGGTATACAGGGTATACATGGGTATACAGGGTATACAGGGTATACAGGGTATACATATACAGGGTATACATGGGTATACAGGGTATACAGGGTATACAGGGTATACAGGGGTATACAGGGTATACAGGGCATACAGGGTATACAGGGTATACAGGGTATACAGGGGTATACAGGGTATACATGGGTATACAGGGTATACAGGGTATACATAGGTATACAGGGT